AAAGGGCGGCGCCGCAGCGCCCTCTGGCGGCCCCCGCGCGCGGCGCAGCCTGCCCTCAGCATCCTCGTGAGCGGAGGCGGGGGCGGGGGACCAGCCTGGGGAAACCGAGGCCAGGAGGGCGCCGAAAAGATGCTACAGATAGCTCACCTCTGGATAGGGAAATTACTAGGTACCAGGCTCTGCTCTTAGCGCTTTCAAGTATATTAGCTGTTGTTTTCAAATGCACTTACACTAATTTCGGTGGCCTAGCATGTTGTTTTTGTTGTTGTTTTCATGTGCCGTTGTGTCGTTTGCGACTCATAGCGACAACAGTCCTAAATCCTGCTGTATCCTGTGCCAACCTCACTGTCTCTGACACACCTACTCCCATTACCCCAATCACTGAATCGATCGAGGGCCTTCCTTTCCTGCGCTGTCCCTTCACCCTCCCAAGCATGACGTCCCTCTCCAAGGACTGGTCCCTTCTTGCAATATGTCCAAAGCATGTCAGATGAAGGTTTAGAATCCTCACCTCCAAGGAGCAGCCCAACTGAAATAACACTCTTGGCACCAGCAGTTAGGAAATCGTTGCATTGGGAAAATCAGAGTACTGAAAAGCAACGTTGTCAGTCTAGAGACTAAGAGGTGCCTCATACAGGCCATGGTCTTCACAATTACTTGCTATGAATCAGAGAGCTGGACAGTGACTAAGGATGGCAGAAGATGAATCGATGCCCTTGAGTTACGGAGCTGCAGGGGAGTCCTGAACATCCCATGGACCGCCAAGAAAACAAACAGGTCTGTCTTGGAGAGGGTGAAAACAAGTTTCTCTTTGGAGACTAGGATTCTGAAACTCCATCCCACATACTTTGGACCCGTGGCCAGGAGGGACCGGTCCTTGGAGAAGGACATCATGCTCAGAGGAGTGGAGGGACTGTCAGTCTTTAGAGAAGCCTCATCTTTCTCTACAAAGCAGCTGCTGGATTCAAACTAGGAACCTTTCAGTTAGCAGTCTGATGTTTAATGCGCTCACCAGCAAAACTCCTTAACCTCTACCCGTTGTTGTTGTTATTGTGTGCTGTAAGTCAGAATCAACTCATAGCTGACTGTCCTGCAGGTTTGCAGAGGAGGTCATCGCACGGGAGGAGATTTTAAAGCTCCGTCTCACATACTTTGGGCACGTGGCCAGGAGGGACCGGATTTCGGAGAAGGACATCATGCTCGGAGGGGTGGAGGGACTGTCAGTCTTTAGAGAAGCTCTGACTGTGACACACAGCAAGGACAGTGAAGTCACATGTGAGGGGATTGTTCATCCTTCTGTCAAGATGGAGTGCTCCCCACCATCTCACGACGCTGCACCCCTCGTCCCCCTTGCTCACTCCACCCCCGCTGTCAGGCCTTCTCGCCATCCCTCCATCTCGCCAGGCCCGTGTCACCCCAGGCCTCCCACATGGCTCTCTGTACACATCCCCTGGAACATTCTCCCAACCAACCTAGACGATCGACTCCTGCAGTTCCAGATGTCCTCTGTCCACCTCAGCCCACACGATTCAGCCACTGCTTCTCTCCTTCACCTTCTTCACTCCCCCACAGCAGTGACACCCATTTAATACAATCTATCCACGGCCCACCCATCTCTGTGTCACTGAGGTGGCCGGTGTGTGGTTGGGAGGCTGGAAGCCATGCAGGCCACCATGGCTTCAAATATTAGCGGGGTCCCCAAGGAGGGCAGGTTTCAGAGGGGTTTCCACTCTCAGACAGACTAGGAAGCAAGGCTGGGGAGTCTGAAAATCAGCCAGTGAAAATGCTCCGGGCCACCACGGAGCCGTGATGGATGCAGTGCTGGCGATCGCCTTGTCTCAGTTCTCTAGAGCGGCTGTAACACGGCCGCCACGAGCCTTTAACAAACAGAAATGTACTATCTTAAAGTTTAGGAGGCTCGACATCCACATCAGGCTCCCAGCTCTCTGTGTCAGGAGGGCCCAGCCTTTGGAAAAAGATATTATGCCGGGGCAAGTGGAGGGTCAGAGAGAGGAAGGCCCTCAGTGAGACGGATCAGTTGTCATCGGGCTTGATCACATTGAGATGGCGTGGAAGGCGTGGGTCAGGGCGGGGTTCTGATCTGGGGTCTTTCCATTAACCGTTTTACTTTGCTGCTGTTGTGAGGTGCTGGTTACAGCTCACAGCAGTTCTGTTAACACCAGACTGAAGCCCTGCTCCCTCCTGTATCAGCCTCTCCATTTCCACCACGCCCAACATTGATGAAGCCACGTGTCAATTGACATCTTCAAGGGTCTTCCTCTCTTTCTCTGATCTGCCACCCCTCCCAGCACGATGTTTTCCAGGGGGACTGGTCCCCCCCCCGCCCGACAACATGTCCAAAGTGTGTGAGATCAAGCTTTCCAACCCACGCCTCTCAGGATCAACCTGGCTGCTTCCTCCAGGACAGGTAAGTAAGTTGTTCTTTTGACAGCCCACAGGGTACTCAGTACCTTCTCCAACACCACGCCTCAAGGGCGTCAAACCCTCGAGTCTTCCTTACTCAATGCATCTCCACAGCTTCCACAGTACACGCGTGGGTCATGGGGGCAGACTCAAGACATGACTCGCCTCTAGCTTGGAAGCCACTCAAGCGACACAGCGGCCACAGGCCTGGGTTTAAGTCATACGACGATCGTGAAGATGATGTAGCACCGGGGTCCGTCCACAAGGCACACAGCACATCCTCTCAAGCTCAGCCCGCATGCTGAGTCACTGGAAGTAGTTCTGGTGGCACAGTGGCTAAGCATTTGGCTACTGATGGAAAGGTTGTTGGTTCAAAGCCGCTCCCCGACTCCACCACTGCTGTAATGACCCGTGGTTAGGTGCCTGATCTACTGACCAGCTTTTGAACCACAAGGAAATCCTATGGGGCAGTTCTGCTCTGCCACATGGCGTCACTGAGTTGAAAAGACTTGATGGCACCTGCCCTGTAGCCCATTCAAACAGCAAACTCTGAGCTGGACACCACTGAAGGAATGCAATACTTTACAATTATTGGTAATGCAATGAAGAGGCTAGATAGACCTTGAGATGTGTTCAAATCCAGGACTGCTCAGAGAAGGCGACCTTCAAATGAATATCGGATAGAGAAGGGGCTGCCAAGTAACACCTTGAGGAAAAGACGTCTCTGCTGCGGGGAAAGCCAGTGCAAAGGCCCTGGGGCGGGGAGCAGCCTGACAATTTGGAGGTGCAGTGAAGGGAACCGTGTGGCTGGGATCATTGGAGCAGCATGGGAATGATAAGATCAGACAGTGTGCGTCCTGGAATAAAGGCCTGGTAATCAGCTTAAAAAAAAAATCTCAGCCGCTGAGAACCCTCTGGATCAGAGATGATGGCACTGACTCCCAGCAACCGGTTTATCTAAAGCTTTATCGAGCCACTGGGGGTAGACGTGTGTGGTGGGCTGGAGAGCGGGAGGGGCTCTGTGACAGGCACTGAGTCACAGCGTTTAGGTGGCACGTGAGTCCTCAGGGCTGGGACTAGGATGAGGGCCATCAAGACCAAATTCTAGGTGTGAGAACCCAAACCCCAGTCATCAAGTTACACACTATCTGCCTGGCCCTGAGACCAGAAGAACCTGGTGCCCAGCTGCCTCTGCTGAGCGTTTCAAAGGGACCGTGGTAGAAGGTCCCAGGGAGAAGTGGGAGAGAAATGGAAGACAAAACTCAAAAATTACTGGGGGAAAAAAATGAAAGGAATCAGTCTTGCTGGTCTGATAGAGGCTAGGGGAACATGCCCTCACACTCACTGTTCAACCCTGACGTGGAGGTCACTGTGGTCATCAGCGAACAGGTGGAAGTCAGAATAAAGGCCTGGCAATGTGTGCATGAAAATGACAGCCTTAGCATGCAGGGTCACGCTGACTCAGAATCAACACAACCACCAGGTTTTGTGGTGGTGTTCTGATCTTGGCTTTATTCTAAACGTTTTTTTTAATTGAATCAGTTCATTTTTATTGTAAATTTAAGTAATTTAAAAAGACCAACTAGGCAATGACACCACACGAAGCTGACGGGGTTTAAATATTTGCTCTCTGCTCACTGGGATGAATTTTGATTTAGAAGGACTTGGCATTGACACATTCTTCACATTTGAGGCCACGCCCATTTCCACAGATGAAGACAAACTACTGCTCCTGTACCCATTTCAAGGAAGTGGAAACTGAGGCTCAGAGAGTCCAGGTATTTGTGTTGGTCACACAGTAAAATCTGGAATTTGACTCCAGCAGCCAGCTCCAAGGAGCTCTACTGTGTCTGGCATATCAGTCGCCAGCTTCTCTGTGGGAGAAAGGTGGGCAACCTCTCATAAAGATTTACAACCTCAGGGGAGCCCTGGTGGCCTAGTGGCAAGAAGCTGCACTGCAATCCCAAAGACGCATGGTTCAAATCCACCAGATGCTCTGCCGGGAAAGGAGGGACAATCTCCTCCTGTACCAGTCAGATCTGATCTCACTGTACACAGAAACACACACACACACACTAATTTAAAAAAAAAGAAAAAATGTAAAAAAAATATATTTACAACCTCAGAAACCTGATGATGGGTCGCTGAGTCAGCCTGGACTCACCAGCACTGGGTCGGATTTTTAGGTGACAACCATTAGCTGGAAGGTTGGTGTTTCCATCCACCCAGAGGTGCTTTGGAAGCAACACCTAGTGACCTACCTCTGAAAGATGACATAAGCCTTAGGTGGCAGAAGGTAGTGGAAGCAGGAATCATAGGGAGGAACCGGGAAGAGCGATGTTACAAAGAGCAGATTGTGACC